TAGATACTTATCAACTGGACTTTCATTTCGAAACTTGGCTTTTTCTATGCGAATGGGCGATCGTACAATAGCAAAAATTGTCCACGAAACTTGTTTAGCTATTTGGGAGGAACTTGTTAGTGATTTTATGCCAGTTCCCACACAAGAAAAATTAGCGAGCGTAGCTATGGATTATTATAATCGTTGGGGATTTCCAAATTGCATTGGGTCCCTGGATGGAAAACATTGTCAAGTTAAATGTCCTAATAATTCTGGATCCAGTCATTTCAACTACCTTAAATATTTTTCATTAGTATTACAAGGAGTTGCTGATGCAGATAAAAAGTTTTTAACAATTGAAGTAGGAGCTAAAGGAAAACAGAGTGATGGTGGAACTTTTGCATCTTCTACACTATTTAATTTGATAGACAACAATAGGTTTAACGTACCTCCAGAAAAAAATTTACCTGGTACAAATATAAAAGTTCCTCACGTTTTAATTGGTGACGAAGCTTACCCATTGAAAACATACTTGATGCGACCTTTTCCATCTCGAGGTTTAAATCCGGCTAGAGAAAATTTCAATGATCATTTATCAAGAGCGCGTAAATGCATAGAATGTACTTTTGGAATACTACGGGCAAAATGGAGACTTCTTGGAAAGGATATAGAAGTCAGTTCTCAAAAAGCTATTGTAATAATAAAATGTATGTGCATATTACACAACGTCATCAGGGAAAAAGATGGAGATAGTGATTTGGACTACTGTAATATTATGTTGGGTTCACAAACCGTTTGGGAAGATGAAATCACAGATCGACGAGCAAGAGGCGCAAATACTTTACAACAGGCAAAAGAAATAAGAAATACATTTATGAACTATTTTTTAAATACTTAATAATAATATTATACAATTATTATAGCAGAATAAATTATAATATAATACAATTTTTCAATATTTTATTTATTATAACTAATTAACATGTGTTTATAATTTAATAATATTTAAATAATAATAATAAAATAATCAATATGGTAATGCTATATATTCACAAATTTCGAAATCTCCGAAGCAAAATCATTTTTCTGATATCAAAACTATATTACTTTTAATATAATAAAACAACTATTTAAAATAACAGTGCAAATACAAATACAAATTAACAATTGTAAAATATATTGTATCATATTATAGTATTCCTATATTATCTATACTGTGCCGTCACACACGTCGATCGTAGTCCGGCCCTGATTATATATGTACCTATATTACATTATTAATACTTAATATATTGATATACCTGTCATTTCAATTACTTTTCCAATTTCTTCCCATATTTTTTTATTTTTCTCGCTATCTTTATATTGGGGATGTTCATCATTCCATAAGCATGGTCGAGTTTGAACTTCGGAAATTAAAATTTCCCTCGTGCTGTCTTGAAAAGAACTTCTTTTCGTCATATTTTTGGGAACGAAATATAATGTTTTACTTTAAAATATTCGAAACCAACTGAACCCGTCATGACGATACGAACTACAAGAGCATGCAAGTAAACAAGATCATTAGTAGATCGATCTTATCATACTATACTTCCTGGAATAATTATTGTAGGAACTATAACCTAATAATATGTTTGCATGGTATCTACCTAAACTACCAGCTACGTATACCTATACAATTTACCTATATTTAAGTTATATAAATCTAGAAACCTATCTACTACACTACTACTAGATCAGTCTACTGATCGCGCACGCCAAATATATCAGCGTCGAGCGTCAAAATTCGAACATGTTTGATTTGTGACGCGCCGCGCCGCTGACGCTCGAAGACGACGCTCGACGCTCGTAGTCAATGTACGCACTCTGATTTAAATTACATGGGCTTAAAATTTTTGGGCGACGCGACGCTCGACGCTCAACGCTCTCCAATGTACGCGCAGCCTAAGTTTTTAAATTTAAAGTGTTTTTGGTGTGATAGTTTATTAGTATAAACTTGGTTACACCACAGTTCACAGAATATATTAATTATTATATATTATTATGTGTTTAAAAGTTAATAAGTATGTTTGTAATTTTAGTTCCAGTTATGATAAAACAATTGTAGGGAATGATATTGTATTTTCAATCTTGGTCTATGATTGGGCTTAATTTTAATATTTTCCCCGGGCGTAAAAATTCTTAGTTCCGCCTCTGGTATATTGTATACTAATAAAGTAGATAAACGTAACTTATCGGAGATATAGATTAGGTATAGACATACATATTACATAATACAATATCATTGAATTTATAACTGTTCCTTATAAGTAGTATAGGTAATGATAAGATTGATAATAGTAATCGGTTTTCGATTACGATTTTCGTTATTTATAATAATATACATATGTACTTGGTTATTTGACCTTCGAGTAATCGAGATAGGTAATTGTACGAATTATATTTTATTATATAAATTCGAGTTATAAGCTAAAATTCAACTAAAATTACTTCGACTTATCGAGAAATTCGAGTTAGTGAAATTCGAATTATCGAAAAAATGTATCACACATATCATATATTGGGAGCCAGGGGCCAAGGTATTCCTTCGAGTTATCGAAAATTCAACTTATAGAGGTTCGAGTTATCGAGGTTCCACTGTATATAATATGTCTTATACCACGTCCTATACTGACATACCGTCTCCGCTCAGAATCGTTGTTCTTATACAATGATTATATATCGTTGAATTCAAATTTAATATCATCCATTATACAGTGACCCACTTGTAACCTACTGTACAGCAGATCATCTTTTTTTTTGAATTCAGTTTCATCAGTAATTTACAAAAATGGTTATGAATACAAAATCCATGGTTTTTACAATAGTAAGTTATACTAATTTTTGTAAATAACTGTTGAAACTGAATGCAAAAAATGTTTATATTTTTAAATAGTTATCAATTTTCTTTGTAAGAGATATATATTGAGCAATTGGTTATACTGCGTACATTTCATTACTATTATAATTCTCTAAAATTTCAAAAACCATTAATACACTTAATAATATTTTGACAACATAATTTAGCAAGTACAAAAAAAAAATATTATTATCTGTTTAGGACAATATTAAGGACAGTATAACTAATAACTGTACAAAAATTCATTTTTTTATCGTTTAAAGTGAGACAATTAAATAACATTTATAATTTTAGCCACAGAATAATTAACAATTATTACACTTAGGTACCATTGTATCTATAGTTCCGTGTGGTGTGTATACATCTTGCATAAATGTATGCAGGCGCGGACTGGCTGGGATGCTGGGATGCTACAGCATCCCTTGCCCTAAAATATATTTGCCCCTATCGGTATAAATGTGCCCACCTAAAATTAATCTGAATTTTGAAGGAGAAGGTTAAAATTCTCTGATAAAATCGTAGGTAGATGTAGATCTATTATTTATGTAATAAGTAATAATTATAATAATCATAAAGAAAAAAGAATACATTTAAAGTAGGTAGCCAATAGGCAATAAGAAAATAGGTAAATTAGTTTGAGCAGCTTATTATATACATTAAATATACTTTCTTAATTTATTATTAACACAATCTTTATAAGAGGAACTTAGCTCTAATTGTTATGGGGCGGGGGGTTGGGGAGGGGCAAAAATTAATCACAATTTACTGACCCTTAAGTTTGCCCTCTCGATTTCTGGCCCCTCGTGACCCTCCGTCCTTCCACACCAAATGCTGCGGCCTATGACAATGTTTATGCTCTTATTAATTTTGAGACCTACACATTTAGTTATAGTTTTATTAACTGCTACTGGTTATTGCTTTTTAAAGTACCAAAATAAGAACGTGACCAAAATCATTTATCTGTCATTATCTCTGTAATTGCAGAATTATATAACCCACAATTCACAAACTATTATATAAAAAAAATATATAGAATTGATTTGATCTCATCAAAATATTGCTACAATCGAAAAAGTGCTTCGACCGATGCAAAGTAAACGTGCATACCAATTCAAACATCTTTACATATTTTAAATCGAACTAGAAGTACTTTAATTTTTGTCAGGCGTTAAGGTCGTTATTTCTATGTTCCACGTGTGTTAGACAAAGACAGACAATCGCGGCATGCAACGCCCTTAAATATATTATATTTAATAATTAATGTAGAAATAATTTTTAAATATTTTTAATACCATTTGAGTTTGGGGTAATTTGTTCTATTTTTGTTCATGTCGCGTCGTCGCCGACGACGATTAGCGATTATTATATTTTTAGTCTGTATTTCATTAGCCCGCTGCCCGCAGTCCGCAGAATGAACATTGCTTTATATACGATAAAGTCATTATAGTCATTATGTGCAATAATATTATATCCGTCGACCACCACATCGTCGCAGTCGTCGAACATCGTCGTTTGCGGCGTTCCTAAGATGTTAACTTATATAACTTATTTAACTTATTATATTGCAATAAAATCATAGATAAGACTAACCCGAGTCCCGACGACGACCGACGGGTGACTATATAGGTATATCGTATAATATGGTCTATTAGAAATTAGTTTATCCAAATCCAACTATGATGTAGACGCAGACACGCCACTCGCAGTATAGCTGACGTAAGGCGTATTGTACTTTTGACTTTACTGAAAAGATTTCTTAAACAAAACGCGCAGAATATACATGAATGCACGATCGGCGGTTGCACCATTAAGGCATTAACTCACAGGTATCTATACATTTTTTTTAGTTTTTTAGTTTTTATATCATTTTTCTGAAAAAAATACATAATTGATCAATTTATTGAGTGTAAATGTGTAATAATTCAATAAACAATACCTATTATATTTAATGTTAAAACAAAATTTAATTGATTCTTTGGGTTTTGACATACAATATTGAACACACTGCACACTAGCACACTACTGCAGTTTTCTACATGTGTGTGTCCATGTAAATTGGGTACTTTGTTTTCAATGCATTATTTTTAAAATCAGATTATTTTACAGAATTTATTGCTAAAATATGGGGAAGACAAAAAATAAATTGAATAGTGGTAGCCAAAATAGAAAAATTAAAGAACAAAAGTTATTAAAATTAGTTGCTAATGACAAGAATCAAAAGAAATTGTGTTTTGATTCACCTGTACCATCAGTTAGTATTGCATTTTGTAATACAGATCAGTGCTCACCTAATTATAAAAATATTGATCACCAAGAGTTCTTAAATTATGAAAATAAAAGGGAAGAAAAATAAATAATTTATGAGACATCTGTATCAAATGTAGAACCTATTGCATTATTTAATTCAATACCGACAATACCGTGTACATCTGATGCAATGAATGAAGACAATGAACGAGTCATTGAAGTTGGAAAAGAAAGAGTTGATGAGGAATTAAAAAATTGTTTAGAACCTTTACAACCTGTTTCACTCTTCCCCTCAATGCCAAACACATTGAATAGTACAAATAAAATTGGTGAATCTGATTCTGAATCAATATATGTAGAAATTGGAATGGAACATGAAAATATTAAAGATGATTTTGAAACACATTTTGATGCTTTTGTATTTGTACCTCCAAATAAAAATGACAGCATAGTAGCTAAATTAAAATTTTTAGAGCACCATCCTATTCAACCAATTGTTATAAATAATTCCAAACTTATGTTTGATCCCAGAAACATTTATTTTCGAAAAATGACAAATGATGATATTGTCGAAAGAAGATGGATTTCATATTGTTCTTTTACTAACAAAATATATTGTAGTACTTGCATGGCATTTTCAGTAGATTTATCCAATGCATTTGTTAATGGTGTAGTAGTTAATATTAAAAGCATTTATATAAAAGTTCAGAAACATGAAAACAGTGCAATACATAAAAGTGCATGTGAAAGTTATTTAAGAGCTTGTACTAACAAAAATATAGACGTCATACTTGAAAATTTTCATAATAAAGAAGTTGAAAAAAATCACATGGTCCTTGATAGAATAATAAGCATAGTAATTGTTCTTGCTAAACAAAACTTGGCTTTTCGTGGCCATAGGCATGAGTCTATTAGTGATCTTAATGATAAAACAAAATTTAATCACGGTAACTTTTTAGCAATAGCCCAACTTGTGGCAAAGTATGATCCAATTTTAAAATACCACATTGAAAATATGATTAAAAAAAGACAAAAAAAATCTAAAAGTCGTGGACGAGGTAGTTTGGTTAGTTTTATGTCAAAGTCAACTGTTAATAAAATTATTCAAATAATCGGTCAAGAGATTCAACACTCTATTTCTAAAGAAATAAAATCCACTGGTCAATTTTCTCTAGAAGTGGATTCCACTCAAGATATTTCAGTAACTGATCAATTGAGTATTTGTGTTCGTTATGTATACCAAGGATATGTTAAAGAAAGATTATTAGCCATGATTCCAATTAAATCATCTACTGGGAAAGATCAATATGAAGTAGTGAAAAATGTATTAAAAACATTGAACATTGATGTAAAAAATCTGATTAGCCAGTCTTATGATGGGGCAGCGAACATGAGCGGAGAGTATAGTGGGTTGCAAAAATATTTTAAGAATGATGCACCTGATTCAATATTCACACACTGTCATGCACACGTATTAAACTTAGTTATAGGTGATGTCACCAAGTGTAATATAGCTTCTCAAAACTTATTTGGCTTTCTACAAAAAACAGCGGTATTTTTTTCTGAGTCTCATAAAAGAGCTAATATATGGAAGGACATTTTATTTGAAAACCAGATTGGCCATGACAAAATGAGAAAACTGCAAAAACTCAGCAATACACGTTGGAATAGCAAAGACAAAGCTTTAAAGACAATTTTTCGTTCGTGGTCAGAAGACGGCTCTAAGTGTGATCGTTATATTTGTCTACTTAATTCATTACACATTTTAGGTTATGATGAAAAGTTTATTAAAGATTCAAAAATGGCATCAGAGGCAAGAGCACTATTAGAAAAATGGACTTCATTTGAAATTATAATGATTGCTTTTATATATCAACAAATATTTTTTTTCACAACACCTGTTTCTAAGTATTTACAGACAGAAGGCATTGACTATGTAATAGCTTGGAATAAAATTGTAACTTTAACAACTAACATAGAGAAAATAACCGAAACATATGAACAAATTAAAAGTAGAGCTGTAACTTTCATGGACACGGTGGAAACTAAACTAGACCACTTAGAAAATATTTATATTCAAAATACATTTCCCACAAGAAGAAATAAAAAAACTAAAATACAATCTGGAGAATTGGGAAATGACTCAGCTACTAATTTCAGTCCAGAAAAGAAATTTAAAGTTGATGTTTTTCAAAGAATTAGTGATGTTGTATCAATGTCCATGAGGGAGAGATTTATGAAAAATAAAAAACTTTTTAATGCTATGGCTTATTTAGATCCAAAAAGATTCAATGATATCAATAATAAAATATTAGATTTTTCAGGTAAATATACATGAAAATATTATTCTAATTTAATCTTAATATAAATGCATGTACCCTATAAAATCTCATATCTTGAATGTATGTGAGAGCATGTTTATTTTTAGCATAATTATTATAATTTATAGATTTTATTTATTTTTACTGATATTAAATAACTAATATAAAAATAAAATCGAGATTAATTCATTACAATTTTGAGAGAACATTTTTTAAACCAAAAGTATATAGATTATAGATATTTTTTTCCATATTAAAACCTAAAAACCGCTAAAAACCAATTATTTGCTTCATAAAGTATATATTAATATATTATCTGAAATATTATGTTATAATGTTGTAATAAATTTAAAATGTTTGTAATTCAGTATAAATACTATTTAAAATGTTATACTAATTTAGTATTATTTGATAAAATAATATCATTAATAATATTGAGTCATATTAACAGACTTAATTTCTTAGTTTCTTCAAAAGTTAGATAAAATCAAGGCTGGGCATTAACAAGTTAATAAGTTAGAAATTATGTTAATTTTTAGATATTAACTTAACTTACTAGTTTATTGTTTGAATTAACTTAATTGAGTTTAAAAGTTTTTTAAACTTGCCCAGCCTTGGATAAAATTAATTAAGTAATGAATTGAATACCTACCTACCTACCTACCTACAACCTATCTATAAAATAGTTCTAAATACTATTATATAATAATTATTAATTAAACATATAATTTTAGAATTATATTTTATAACTATGTAGGTAGGTAGGTACTTACCATTTTTTTGTCTTACACAAGTATTATATTATTAAGATTAACTATATTATTATTATCATAGATGGTGCACTTGAATTCCTTTGTGTAAAAGCTAAATTACAATTTGAAGAAGTAAAAAGTGAATTGTGCAATTTTTCAATATCTTTTAAAACGATGGTCAGTGCTAGTATTGGAAATGCAATTATGCCAGCAAAACACAATGATGATTCTGAAACTGATTTGAATGAAGATAATGGTAGTATACACAAAAATATTATTTACTTGGCTACTTGAGAACATAGAAATATTTTTTTTTTAGACCAACAGGATACTGATGAGAATGAATCTATACATAATAATGAACTCGATAGCTGTCAATTTTGTTTACCATGCGTGTTTCAAATATTGTGGAAATTCAATTTACATTCTTCAGCTTATTCCAATGTGTACTTATTATATAAATTTGTACTAACATTAGCATGCACTCAAGTTTATTGTGAACGGTCTTTCTCAAAATTAAAAATTATCAAAAATAGACTAAGAAGTACCCTTTCTGAAGAATTGTTGAATGCATTAATGTTAATAAGTACTGAACATGATCTTATTCCTGATACTAATTATATCATAAAAAAAATATCTGAAAGTTCAGACTTGCTTGGTAAAATATTATAAATTTGGCAGGTAGGTCGTAGGTACCTCATACCTATGCAACAAGTCAATGATAACAATATTACACATAACTTGTTTCATATTATATGTAGGTACTAGGTAATATAAAAATATTTAAAATGTAGAAGTTCATTATTAAATATTAATTTATACATTCAGTAATATTGTAATACAAAGAATATCATGTACTTACCTATGTATAATGTACATTATAAGTTTACTTTTATTTTGTATCAATAATGAATAATAATAATATGTATCATAATATAAATATCTATAATAATACATGGCGCAATATATAATATTTTTTTGTAAGTTATTTTTTTTTTTTGCTTGGATTCAACAGTTTTCAAGGTTCAATTTTTAAAGATTTTAATTTGTCGTGGTTAATTTATTATTTTTATTAATATTATAATTATTGTACTGCAGGTGAACATAAAAATGTATATCAGTATAACTGAGATTTATGAGTATTGCACTTAAGTAGAAAGTATATCCTTGTTTAATCATTTATCTACTACCTACCTATGTCGCAATCCCTAAAATCGGATTTATGATATTTTAAAAGTAATTAAGTATAATATTTGAATGTGTTATGTGTAATTACGGACCATTAATTCATTTTTATTTTTTTACCATACAACTGTAGAACTTTGTAAATTTGTAATTTTTTGAATGGCTGTTGTAATTTGGCACCTATTTACATTTTTAACGTATTTACAATATTTTATTAAAAAAATATTTTATTAAGAAAATGTTTAAATATTTTATAAATAACCTACATATTTAAAATTTGCCCCCAAAATTTGTTTTATTTGCCCTTTAAATTATTTAGCATCCCGCGCCCTTTTTTACCAGTCCGCGCCTGAATGTATGAATAGCATCAAATGCAAACCACGATGGCTTAAATACATCTTTTCTTCCAGCACCAGAAACTTTCGTTGTTTTAATTTTTCGTCGATATCCTCTATAATTCTGGATTAAATTGTTAATTTTTTTTTTTATTTCTTCTTTTGGTTTTTGAAACTGTAAACCTAATTTGTGATACGCATCATTTTTTTTATTTTTCGATTTACGGTCTGTATCTTTTGGATCCCACAAACACCGGTACTTTCTAAACTCGTCAATAAATGTGAGCACTAGTTCATCATTCCACTCGGACGCAATTGACACAATTGACGAACTAAATTTGTAACGAAATTACGTAATTCCATATTATGATATTTGATAACATCCATTTACCTACAAATATCTAATTTTATTTATAAATTATAATCAAGTGATATGAACTTCCTGTTTACATGAGAAACGCGAAACTACACGAAAACCAACGAAACGACACGAAACAGTACGAAAAATATTTT